GTGCACACTGAGCGCACTTTCCAGGTCACCCGGCCGGCCACTCGACAGCAGAGCTGCCTCGGCCACGCTGACAGGAGGGGGTAAGAAGGGGGGTAAGAAGAGGGGGATGTAGGAGTAAGAAGGGGGAGGGGGCATGCAAGAAGGGGAGTGGGGAGCAAGAGAGGGGGGGCAGGTGTGGCGCAGGAGGGGTGGAGGGGGAGGCAGAAAGGGGGAGGAGAGTAAGAAAGGGGGGGGTGCAAGATAAAGTAAGAAGAGGGGCAAACAAAGCAGAGGGTGGCAAGCAAGAGTGGCCAGGGGTGGCAGAGGGGGACGGGGAAGTGCGCGAAGAGGGGGCAGGTGTGGGCAGCGGGTGAGGAGGGAGGGGTGAAGGGGGTAAGAGGGGGGAGGGGTGGGAAGTGCAGCAGTGGGAGGGGGAGTGCTGCGGTGTGTAAGAAGTTCTTTATTTTGAAATTTAAGGACCACTCTAGGCACCCAGACCACTTCATAATGAAGTGACCTGGGTGCTGTTCCTCTAGGATTAACCTTTTTATAACATAGCAGTTTCAGAGAAACTGCTATGTTTCTTATACTGAGGGTTAATCCAGCTCCAGAACCTCTGTAGTGGCTGTCTCATTGACAGTCGAGGCGCTTTGGCGCGTCACCTCGGGGAAAATCACAGTGAGAGTTGCTAATACAAGCGTTCATAGTGGAAAGCATTGCAAATGCTTCCTATGCAATCGGGTGAATGCGGCGCGACGTAAGCCTCCTCGCCGCGCCGCGGCGCGATTCAGCCGGCGACGCCGCGAAAGCGATGGTAGGAAGAAGAAGTTTCCCGCTGGAGAAAGGTAAGTGTTTAACCCTTCCTTCTCCAGAGCCCGGCGGATAGTGCCAGGAAAACATACTCGTTTTCCTGGCACTATAGTGGTCCTTTAAGTTTTTTTCCCCTGAAATTTCCTTCTTAAAATGAGGTGCGTGTTATACGCCGGTGCGTGTTATACGCCGATAAATACGGTATGTACTTATTTAGAGGGGGAAAGTGGGAGGGGGGTGGGAGAGTGTAGCATGGTGAGAAACTTTTTTCTTTTCAACATATATGCTGTAGCTCTCAGAGATGTTTGGCGATGAGCTATAGGCATGGGACTAGTCTATCCCTTTAGGAAAATGAGTGACCCAGCTCTTATGGAGCTCACCAATGAGGTGTACATACTCATGGCTCCATTTATTCCACCGGTTGTCTAAGTCCGGAGGAGGCATCCACACCAGGTGCTCACCCACTCCCAACATCAAAGTCTTAGCTTGGGGGTAGGTTTGTTGGCTGGCAGAAGGTGATAACACCTGTACCCAGTCAGGAGTGGTGTTGGCGGCTGGGTGGTAGCTGTGACTGTACGTCACTTTAGCATTGTCAGGTGTGGAATAGGGGTTGCCCCCTGCTGTCGTGTGGCATCTAATAAGTGTCATTGTTAGAGCTATGGTCACTTAAAACAGGTTATTGATGTGCTATAACAGTGTATATAAGATCCTGAATAGCTAAGGTGTAAGATGGAACTCACACCGTGCTGACTCTTTCTGGCGGTAAGTCCATGCGAGGTCTGCAGCGTGCAGGACAGAATTATAGGCTGCAATTCTCAGGTGCATGCCTTCTTTCACTCTTGTTGGAGCTTAGAAGGTGAGGGTTGCTTTTACCCTGTGGTTGAAGGGGATATCCCATCCCATCTCTTCAGGATCTTCCTCCCTTCTTCTGGGGATAAGATGGTGTGCAATGTCCCATTCCTGTGGACATGTAAGCGAATAGGTTGACCCCAACGGGGTATTGGTCAGGGAGGTCCTTGCCTTTTCTGGAGGCCTTCATTATTGCTTCCTTTGCGTGGATGTAATGCATGTGGGTAAACACATCGTTGGGTGCTTTCTCCGGCAGAAACTTTGGTTTCACAACCCTGTGTGCTTGGTCCATTAGTAAAACGGCTTTAAAGTACCCCATTAGATATTCCATGGGGTCAGGTTGTTTCACTGCTTTCGAGATGCCTCGCAGCCTTATATTTTGTCTCCTGGACCTGTCCTTGAGGTCCATTAATTCTGTTTGGCAGAACTCAAGTTGTTGTTCAATTTTTTGGACATGGTCCAACATGACTTTGTGTACTTCTGCATATTCACCACTGTCCGATCTCCCAAATCCTGCACATCCTTCCTGAGGTCTGATATCCATCTGTTGAAGTTGCGGAGTAGTTTTGCTGACATTTGCCTCTGGTCGTTGGGGTGCCTGGTAGTAGCAGGGTGTCATCACTGTCGAAATCTTGCTCTTCATCTTGAGAGCTAGGAAGTTTTAGCAGATGATTAGGGGGCCGTGAAGAACCTGCTTTTCTCCCCTTGTTCTGAGCCATCTTGGGGGATAAGTTTAAAGGGTTTTCTCTGTCAATTTCACTGTGTTAGTCGCTGTACGGACCGATATAGGATGAAGTTTCATTCACTTGCGACCATCCGCGTCATCAGCCAGGCCACGCCCCGACTCCCCTGATCTTAAGATTAATCTGGTGATGCAAATTTTCCTGTGCAGCAAAGTGATGCTGATAAGTTTGGCTCTACTGTTGCAGGATCTTCACAGCTTGTTGGAGTGAAGCAATCTGCTGTGTGCCAATGTGGGTTGCACTCCCAGGCATAGTAGATCCCTGCGCAGTGTAGCCACATCAGACAAGATATTTTTTTGCAGGTCCGACAGGAGCTCCTGCAGGACTGCCATTGTCACTGGGGCAGGCGACTGAGACTTTGACAGGAGAATTACCGGCTTGAGTACGTTTCCATCCTCTTTATCCTAAAATAGCTCATCTGAGTAGTCCAAGCAGTCTCTTGTAAGGGATGCCATCTTGAGCCCAAGAGTGCCATGAGCCTGCCGCCACAGATTCCCACTGTTCATGCCCATGCATGTTTTTTTTTATGGCTTCTGCTTTTTGTTTTTTAGTCCCATGGTTTCTGGGAACACTTGAGGATCCTCCGGGGCACAACCAAAGTGGGTAACAAGGGCAACGATGAGTTCAAGAACCCTGAACTGTGAGAGCATGCGACCAACCGCTTCAAGATTTGGGCATCTTTTCAAACACAGGATCCCACGGTGGTGTATATCTAAAATAAGAATAGCAGTGCTCTCTGTAAAAATTTTATTAAAGTAAAAGATAATTCAAAACACACTCACATAAGATGCAGGTATGGTTAGCACATCGCGTAGTGGGAAATTAGTATCAGTCTATATGTCCCTTAGTTGCTCTTTCCTCTTTGCCGGCTCGGGGAGAGAGTGGGGAATCTGAATACTGTGTTTGCCGTTGGAATTTCTTCGCCTGCGTTCCACCTTTTGCACTTATCAGTGAAGTGTGAGTTATTGCTGCCTTACTCCCATTTCGTCATTGCTTAAATCACTTCATCAGAAGTATCTGTGCGGCTGGTAAATAAATTAGACTGGAGTCATTACAGTAAACCATAAACATTATGGAATAAAATACTTTAGAATTGCAATTCAGTAGAATTAGAATGCCAACCTATTCATGGGCAAAAGGGAAGATGAATTTATTTGGACCATCTCCCCATTTGGCGCAAACCTGGCGCCATTTTTTGGGTGTGTGTATGTGCCAGTGTGTGTCTCTGTGTGTGTGTGTGTGTGTGTGTGTGTGTGTTTCTAAGTGACACACAGATACACACACTGACACACAGATACACACACCTTGACACACACCTTTTTAATTTTATTTTACTCCGCCCAGCTTCCCTTTCTTTGGGAGTGCTGGCATGGAGTCTCTATGTCCTTGTAGTCCAGTGAGGATGCTGAGCTGAGCAGTGCCTGGGGTCCAGCAGGCTGCTGAGCGGCTGGCGTGCTGTCCCTGGGGTCCAGTGGTTTTCTGAGCAGCTGGTGTGCAGTCCCTGGGGTCCAGTGGGGCTGCTGAGTGGCTGGCGTGCGGGTTGCGAGGGAGCAGTGATCTCCCCACTCAGCTCCCTTGCGCGCCTCTTAGTGATGCTGGAACCAGAGTGACTTCATATTCCGGCTCCGACATCACTGCTGTGCTCACAAGAGAGCTGAGCAGGGAGATCACTGCCCACTGTTCCCTCGCCGCCCGTGGCCATTTTGTTTTTAGAAATTTTGGCGGAACCCCATTTGTGTTCTCGCCATACCCTAGGGTTCCGCGGAACACCAATTGGGAAACACTGATCTATTGTCATATCTTATAAACTGGACTGTATTATCTATTGTCATATCTCATAACTAGACCATATTATCTATTGTCATATCTAATAACTGGTCCGTATTATCTATCGCCATATCTCAAAATTGGACCGTATTATCTATTGTCATATCTCATAACTGGACAGTATTATCTTTCATCATATCTCATAACTGGACTATATTTTCTATCGTTATATCTCATAACTGGACTATATTTTCTATCATCATATCTCATAACTGGATCATATTATCTATCATCATATCTTATAACTGGACTGTATTATCTATCGTCCATTATCATTACTGGACTGCATTATCTATCATAATATCTCATAAACTGGACCATATTATGTATCATCATATCTCATAACTGGACCTATACAAAAAGTAATAAATGGAAATTAGTATTACTTGGATTCCCTGTCATTGTTTGGATTAACTCCCATCATGCCCGGGCAGCTGTAATGCTGGCTGAGCCACACAAGAGCTGATATATCAATGTAGCTGGAGAGTTAGGCATCATTGCACAATAATGGGTAAAAGTACACAAAAGGTTTGATTGAAAACAAGCTGTAGTGGTAATGGTGATTACAGTGCGTCTTCAGTGATCACAAAAGATGCAACTATGCAAATAAAACGCATAATCACAAAAAAGAAAGTGTAATATATACATAAATGCTAATTATTAAAGTCAATGAAAGAAATGGACTCACATTTGATAGAGCGATAATTTAACATGTTGAATTTAGTGACATAAGTGGAAATGGCTCAGATATTATTCAGTGATTGAAACAGTGCAGTTTAACATGCTGTGATCATGTTTATTTGTTATATTTCAGGTTTGGGGATTAAAGCAGCTGTGGGTCATTTAGATTTTTATCCTAACAAAGGACAACGTATGCCAGAATGTAACTCTTCAAACTGTTTGGAAGGTAAATACATGTGAGAAATATTACTGCACTAGCAAAGTGGCCTGGTTAGCGGTTCACCTGAAAGCACCCCCCTTCCCTCATTCCACATACAGTGGTGGGTAATTAAAACAATTTTACCTCATCTTCCACCCCTGATCTGTGCATCAAGAGCAACGAGCCACTGCTCTGCCTGTAAACTAGAGTGCTGCAAACAGAGGAACCGAGAGACTAGATATCAATAATAAGAGATCTGCAACAAATATAACATGTATTGAACACTTAATGATGTGAATTGTAATCCTATCACTCTCAGTCAGATTTCTCCTGCTGTGAATGGTTAGAGTTATAGCCAGTGGTAGCCACTGAATTAAATGTCCCTTTCCCATAGTTTCTATGTCCGTAAAATCCCACGTCTATCCACAAATGTATCTCCTACCTAGCACATTATGGATGGTCACTGAATAGGGAGAGTACCATTTATTAATTTACATCATTGGGCCACAAATGTTTTAAAACTACAACTTCTATGATGCTTTGTCATTCGTAAGGCATTCTAGAGACATGCCAAGGATCATGGGAGTTGTAATTCTACAACATCTGGGGATCTACCTATTTGGCACCCCTGATTCACATCAGTCTTTGGGTGCATATATGTTGGGGTCATGGCTTTATGCTAAAGAATTGTTTTTTATTTTTAATTTACAGATTTGTGTCTCCTGAGTCCCGTAACTGGTCCGTTAAATTGCTCCCAAGGTGCTGAACAGGCCCCACTGCCATGTCCAGAGTCAACTAAGAACACTAACTTTACTTTACAGGAGTTTAGAGGTAAACACAATAATATTAACAAATCAAAAAGTAAAAAACGATTGCAGATGTCATGTCATAGTGATCATTTAATTTGTTGATATTACTGGTTATAATCATCTTCTTTTATTTATAAAATAGAAATTATAAATTATAAACGAAATAAGGGATATACCTCGCTGATAGTTCTATACAAAGAGCTAACATGGTGTTTGCCACCTAAAGGAATATTCCATATTATCAAATCCTAAAAACACATCTATTTTGTGTTACGGTGGGCTCCATCCACAACAAATGTGCAAATGATCTTTCCATTGAACTGACTCAGTTCTTTGTACATTTTGCGCAGACATAATATGACATATGTGACTGTATTAGATAAAGAGAAATGTCTGGTGGAATTAATGTAACTGATGCCAGAGCTGATAGCAGTTACACATTGAGCTTGCTTGCAGCTCCATTCATAGGTTTTGCATGGAGCTCTTGGTCATGATTCAGGCTCCTTCAAATTAGGTTGTGAAGAAGTCGGTTAGTGTAAGTTAGGAATATAAAGTGTGTTTCCAAGGTAGCCAATGCCGTACAAGTCAATTACCGACATACAAAGCTTTTTGTGACTCCGGCCTCTAATCACTGACTATTGTTACCAATTTACCAACTTTCTCTCTTGTAAGTGTAACTGGGTTGTTTTAGTCTTTTTTAAATCTTGGTAACTATGCGATGGGTAACCATTAAACATGTGTTCTAGTACAAAGCATTCACATGCTGCTGGGGGTAAATCGATCAAGGCTGTTTTGGGAATTTTAGAACAGAACACTTTAATAACTCTCTCCCACTGAGTCCCTCCATCAGCACATAGAATTGATGTTGATTTAGGAAAAGGTGGTAAGTGTTGTGCCTAAGGTAGAACACCGAAAGTTGCCCTTCACAGCTGACGGTTTTCAGACATTTAATGCATATCTCAGTTTGGTACTAAAAGCTAAATCAGATCAACCAGGTTATTGTCTACTAATTTGTATGAGTAGTTTCATTCATTGTTTTCTCAACGTATTTGTGACTAGGTGTGTTTTGCCTCTGATAGAGTCAATGAATGGATCTCCTTCACGTAGTACCGATGGGAGAGATAATAATGTATTCTTTCTTTAGAAGTCTTACTACATTCTCTTGTAAGTGGGAGATGAGAAAGAAAGTGGTAATGTTTGTTTGTTTTTTGTGAAATGTGTCTTTTAAGACATTTTCTTTTTTGCACATTTTTACTATATATAATTTTCTCAACAGTTTATGCAAAGCGTGCCTTCTGTGACCATTACCAGGCCATACAATACTTCATAGACAGCATCACTGACAGGAATAAATTTCAGAGTTACCCCTGCGAGAGTGAAGCGAAAGCACAAGCAGTAAGTTGATTTATTAGCAGTTGATTAAATTGAAAAATCCGCAGATTTTTTTTTTTCTTGTAAATTTCCTATCCACAGTTTTTAGAATTGTTAGAAAATACATTCACTGTCTCTGCATATACGTTATTTAAGTCTCTTTCTGCCGGCCCTGCGTACACACAGCGTTATTTACTTAAATGAGAATTGCTGAGAACTCAAAGTGAATTTAAATTAGAGGCCACAGCAGACAAAATGGAAGCACAGCCGACTTGGAGATTGGTTATTTCGCCCTAAATGTGTAATTCACTGTAAATTCATGACAATTCTCAATTTATTGAATAACCCCTATTAGCATTGTGTTAAGACCTACAGTGGTTATGGTGCTGCGGTCTTCTGTTCCCTTCCCCCAACAGCAGAGCATAAGTGATTATAGCTGCAGCAGGGGTTAGAGGAATAAGGTAGATGATATGCAGTTCCAAGGTGGTTCTTCCCAGCAAATAGAATATCCCCCAAACATGAGCCTAGACTTCATGAAGGGTGAATTTTATAACAGGGATGAATTTTATTGAAAACACACGGGCTTTTATGAGAAATCCTCCTGCAAGGGTGAATTTTATAACAGGGATGAATTTTATTGAAAACACACAGGCTTTTATGAGAAATCCTCCTGCAAGAGGACCTCCCACAGCAAACAAAGACGACAGCCAATCAGATTTACAGTAATACACGCCTTCTCTTTGCCTGGGAGATATTGAGATAAGTTAAGGAATAAACCAATTATCTCCAGGCAGAGAGCACACAATTTCCTCAAAACTCAGAACACCCCTTTTCCCACAAATTACCCCCCGATCTGGGGGACAAACATATCCAAATTTCACCCAGATCGGTTCAGGGGTTCTGAAAAAAAGGGTGGAGGGTCCCTTTTACCGACCACACACGCGGCTCCTGCCCAAAACCGTTCCATGAATTTAGCGTGTGCGGTCGGTCAATTCACAAATAGATAAAAACCGAACAAAGGTCCTGAATGGATCCCCCTGGCTCATAGTAGCGATTGCTCCCCTTGTCCGTTCGCACAGAACTACCGAACGGCGCTTCCCTTGCTGTTCGGGAAATACAAGAAGCTGGAGTTCGGTAGTTTCAGCGGTGGTTCACGAGGTCGAGTGTCCGATTTTAGTTCCAGACACTCGACGACCAAGTCCCGCTGACTCCCCTCGTGCGAACGAGATGGCCGCCGTTTTCTATTCCATGTGGCGTTCGGCTGTACGAACAGCGGCCGCCCAGGGAGCACTTAATAGCTGGTTCCTTTGTAGTTAATGAGCCAGGAGGGTGGTCAGCGTTCGGTAGTTTCAAACTACTGAACCAATACATTCAATATACAGGTAGTAAAACAGGAAAGTACCGAACAAAGAAGAAAATGTCAATTAAAAGTCCATTTTCTTCACACATTGGTTTTGCATTTTCTTTCAATACAATAAAACACAAAATTGAATGTTTATGTATCTTCCCCTGCTTTCTAGTGTTGGTCCTCATGTGGTAAGTCATTTTTCTTCTGATGTTTTGGTCAATACTGTACTTTACAAAAAAAGATAAAACAGGTTGCGCTTGTATGGGTAAAAGTAAACAATAATATCTAGTGTATATAAAGACTGCTTAATAGATGGTATATATTTACAATTGGTTGGTAAATAAAACAGTAGTCTCAAAATAAAGTCTTTGCAGTGTCAAAGAAATCTTGAAAGAGATGTTTGGAAGAGCAATCTGATATCCTCACAGATTCAGTTGTGTCGGGATATGTGAAGACAATAAATACATAGTGAAAACCAATAGTGTAATACTGTATAACGAAAAGTGAAATTAAAAAATGATAGTAAATAATCGTTCAAGGAAGGAGCAATCTTTTCGCTCTCTTCTAAAGGTTTGTGGCAATATAATCCTTGGCAAGGATATAGAGTTGATAGCAGTCAAATCCTTTCTGAAGGAAAGAAAAAGTTGGTGTCAGGTTTTGTTGTGGAAATCGACAAATATAAATAGACAAGCGCAGCAGAGCAGAGAATCCCTCAAATCTATTTTTGGGGAACGTTTCCCGAACATAGATTAGATGGATTCCCTGCTCTGGTATGTTTTTCTATGTTCAGGAAATTTCCCCGAACATAGATTGGAGGGATTCCCTGTTCTGGCACGCTTGGGTATGTTTGGGGAAATTTCCCCAAAAATAGACATACGCACCAGAGCAGTTAATCCCTCTATCCTATGTTCGGAGAAATTTCCCTGAACATAGACCAGCTCTTTAACGTGGGGAATCCTTTGCATCCCCACGCAAGTGAGCCGGTCGTAAGTGAAAGCCATCGCAAATAAGGTAGGTCCCAAAGTGAGGGCCACTGTATATAAAAACACACAGCACCAATAGTGTAAATCAGTATAAGCACCTAATTAAATTATATAGAAATGGAAATGCACTCACATAACAAGAGCTTCCAATCAGCTCTTAGAAATGACTTAGAGCAGTCCAATTTCTGCTCACGGAGATATCTGTGGTCAATTCTATTGGGTTTTTATCAGTATAGTAGACATATAGTGTGGAGAAATTTAAGGGAAATATAGTGCTCTCTGTTTCTGATAATAACCACTTTCCGCAAATGAAAAATAAATGTACTTACATTTGTTAGAGCAATGCATGCTCTGTGAAACCAGCGTAAGTGGTATAACGCCTAGCAAGGATATAAGAACAAGTGCAGCATTGCCTGTAGAAATATTCTGGATTGGAAAGATATCATGATGTATGTAGGACAAAAATAAAAATGAGTTTGGATGGTATCAACTACTTTTATTGTAATTTACTTAACAAATAAATAAATTAAAGGCAGATAAAAAGCTCTGGTATAAAATCAAAACCCATTTCACCAACAGGCTTCTGCAAGTGATGATCACTTTTCCAGTGTTTCAATATGTTAATTATAAGCCACATCTGGACCAATAACATCTGGGTGAACTTGCTCTCAGTATATACATGTAGCTGTTGTTATTGAGAGGAATACGTAGAGAACGGACATGTTCCACTCGAGCACAGCTTACCCGTCCTTGTACGCCACTTGGGATTGTCAAACTTCTCACCCAACTTCTTTTACCCAAAAAAGATTGTAAGCGTATAAATATGAATAGCTTCCATTAAGACATGTTACATCAAATATTTTTCTAGTTGTTCTGTAAACTTTTACCTTTATTGTGTTTATACAGGGAGAATGTGCCACTGAGGGTCCCAGTGATGGAAATCCAACGATGGGCTTCTATTCCACAGACTACACAAACTTAACCCAATCAAGTCAGGTGTTTGTACTGAACACCTGATGAGTTTAGGTCACAGCAATAAAGTACAACACGTGTTAATTAACACAGTTCTGACTCCTGTATATATGTAGTTGACTAATTCTGACTCATTTTCTCCTGCAGTTGGCATTTTACATCTGCACTGATAAAGGTGGAATGGGGGGTACCTGCAGTCTCTTTACTTACACTGACACATCCTTGTGTCTATGTTGTTATGTTTATTGGTAAGGGACGTATCTCTTCATTGCCCCAGGTCAAACTTTTCATTACCAGAAAAAATGTTCAATCGAGTAAGCAATGGTTGTAGAAGCAAGCTCGCTCCCATTCACTGTGCCACCTCCTTTTTATTTTTTATTTATTTTTTATATATAGAAAATAAGTAAAAGCAAACTTGGCTTGGCAAAATGAACTTAAAATAGGAGTTTCAGAGAAAATGCAGCTTCCTCCCAGGCTTTGTTGGAGGACGTTGTTATGTGCTCTCCCTACAGAATGAAGCAAACACTGAGTAGCTAACACTCTTTTTTTCCCAAAATATTTTTTAATCAATGCATTGAAATGAACATGGGTGTTCTATACTACAAAGAGAAAATAACAAATATACAATAATAATACTAATATTAACCATTTTGAAGCCACAAATTGTTTTCATATAGGTAGCATAGAAAGAAATGGGTGTTCCTTTACTGTAGATTTTATAGCTGTTGACCAGAAAACTCCCTTATTTACTATTCTTATATGTGGACATATTTATGGTTACCAAATTAGGGAGCTATGTGCTAAACAGCACCTTAATTTTATATCCTTAAATATGGAAATCCCATGTAGGGGTACTGTAGCAGAGCTCCCTGTACCCCGACTGGGTACTTCCACCAAGGACCGCTTTCTTGCTGGAACAGGGGACAAACCGCAGCACTTCTACCCACAGTCGCCGTGGCCTGGCTGGGGCCCTGGAGCCACTCTCTCCTGGAGCTGAATGGGGAACTCGCTCTCTGAGTGGATGACACTCAGTTCTGGGAGCTCTAGTCCTTACAAGGACTTTCCCCGTTGAATCCTCCACACTGGAACAGTGATTAAAGAGTAGCCCTTTCCCCTCCAAGTAACCAGACGACACATAGTTCTGGGAGTACAAGCTGTAATACGTTTAATGACAGCCACAACTGGCTTTATATGCAGGTCCCCATCCAAGGGGCCCTCCCCACTGGACCTGAGAGTAGACTACAGTAGAAACAAATACACAATTACATTGGCTCTCGGATCCAGGACACTCCCATACATAACCAGATAATCACTCCTCTGTGCCTGGTAGATAATTGGATCAGGAACTGTACTAATCTAATCCAATTAACTCCAAGCACAAAAAAAAAAAAAAATTTCCCCAAACACCCCAAACGTACCACAAAAATACATAAAAACCCCACAAAATTTACAACCCCAAGTTTCTCAACAAGGGTGACACCCAGGTGGACATTGTTGGGCGCAGGGACACAAAGGGAATAAGAATAGTAATTAACTGTACGACACTCCCATAACACACATACAATCCCTCCTCTCTGCCGGTGAGATAATTGAATGAAGTACTGTATGTAACTCAATTATCTCCATGCAGAAAAACACACATTTATTGTAAAGTCCCATAAGTACCCCAAAGCACAACATATCCCCATATATTACATCCCCCGATAGCCATGATCTGGGTTACCAACATATCCAAAAATCACCGCACGCATGGTCCCATGCCCAAAACAGTTCCAGAGAACTAGGGCTTACGGTTGGTCTAGTTCGGTAGTTTAAAAACGAGCAAACTACCAAACATAGTCAATCGCTTACCCTGGAGCTTGTTCCCCTTGTTCGTTGGAACATTTCCACCGAACAGTGTCTTTCTAAGTGTTGTCAAACCGAATGCAGGCGATCATGGAAGTCCAGCGGTGTTCGGGAGTTTCAGTATCCAAAAATAGTTCCATGTACTCGACAACCAAACACCGCTGCCTGCGTTCATGCGAACAAGATCGCCGCCACCTTGTGGTCGTTTATAGGAATTGCGGCCTAGACGAAGACTTAGAACACTGAAGTGGAAATTGTTACAAAGTAGCAATTGGGCTTAACAGGCTCCAGGGTGTTCTCCGTTTCGTGCGGCTGTTCGGTTCCCAAACCATATAGTCCAAATACACGAACGGAGACTCTTATATCACATTTTACGAGGTCCATAGCCTGTAGGCAGGAGGCTGGCAAGCAGGCTCCTTCAGGAACACATGGCAAACTCACTTGAAAAGGGGAGTTTGTCACAGTTAGCATACCATGCTGTTTAATAAACAAAGCTGAAAGATCAAAATGAAAAACAGGTTTACTTTCTTTATTTAATCTTTCAGCTGTTTAGTAGATACATCCCTCATTTTACATCCTACAGTGTACCTAATGTGTGTGAGAGTCTGGGGTGTCCCTTTAATACTATAAACCCACCCAGTATAAATAAGTGTTATCTAACCTACACAGTGCACATAATGTGTGTGGGAGCCTGGAGTGTCCCTTTAATAATATAAACCCACCCAGTATAACTAACTGTAACCTAACCTACACAGTGCATCTAACGTGTGTGGGAGCCTAGAGTGTCCCTTTAATAATATAAACCCACCCAGTATAACTGTATCCTAACCTACACAGTGCACCTAACGTGTGTGGGAGCCTGGAGTTTCCCTTTAATAATATAAACCCACCCAGTATAACTAACTGTAACCTAACCTACACAGTGCACCTAACGTGTGTGAGAGCCTGGGGTGTCCCTTTAATAATATAAACCCACCCAGTATAACTAACTGTAACCTAACCTACACAGTGCATCTAATGTGTGTGGGGAGCCTGGAGTGTCCCTTTAATAATATAAACCCACCCAGTATAACTAACTGTAACCTAACCTACACAGTACATCTAACGTGTGTGGGAGCCTGGAGTGTCCCTTTAATAATATAAACCCACCCAGTATAACTAACTGTAACCTAACCTACACAGTGCATCTAACGTGTGTGGGAGCCTGGAGTGTCCCTTTAATAATATAAACCCACCCAGTATAACTAACTGTAACCTAACCTACACAGTGCATCTAACGTGTGTGGGAGCCTGGAGTGTCCCTTTAATAATATAAACTCACCCAGTATAACTAACTGTAACCTAACCTACACAGTGCATCTAATGTGTCCCTACACAGTGCCTGGAGTGTCCCTTTAATAATATAAACCCACCTAAAAAAAAAAAGCACATGTGATCTGGGAGGAGGGGCGATGACCTAGCATGCCACGATACGCACGCGGTATCAAGAGCCCGGCTTTGGATCGATGAGGGACTGAAAAACGCCCTGGCGTGACAGGGCATTGTGAAGCAACTTCAGGTGTTTCAATGTGTCCGGAGAAACAGACGAGCAGCCTCTGCAGAGATTCCTTGTAAGAGTCAATTTCAAGAGACACTTACAAAAAGGAGCACAAACAGAGACTCAGGCTCAGACGAGAAAAAGAGAGGTGACGCTGATGTGAGATGAGCTGTGATGGACCCTCCGCTGATGGATGCTCCTAGTGCTCAACAAGGACCATCAGCACTGCACCAGACACCATAAGTACTGCAGACCTCACAACCGCCACAGCTTGGTTGGGGTCTCTCTGTCTTCACAGCAAGGCTCCAGGTTCCAGTGGGTAACTCTCTCCTCCAAGAGAGTATAGCAGGATCAGCTGTAAAGCTCTTACAAGAGCTAGAAGAAGCCAAGGGAGTATAATGATTATAGCTGTTCCCTACAACACGAGGCTAGGCTGCGAGTTGAGGGTGAAGAAGTCTGAAGGTTTATTGGTACAGGTTAACTTTATATACAACTCCTCAGACCTGATGGGACTCGAAATTACAAAATGTACAGACCAATAAAAACAATGTAACAATCCCTGACACTCCCACATACAGTACACATTCCCTCCCCTCTGCCTGTGATATAATTAAGGCAGGTAACGCATTTAACTTAATTATCCCAAGGCAGAAAAAACACACATTTTTATAAAGTACCATAAGTACCACAAAACACAACATATCCCCATAATGTTACATCCCCTGATAGCTCTGATCTGGGTGAACAACATATCTAAAAATCACCCAGATCAGATAAGGGGTTCAAAAAGTTTATTGAAGTCATATTTTTGCCCAGGCGCAGGCATGGTCCCATGCCCAAAACAGTTCCATATAAACGCGGCTAAGTGCCGCTGGAGTACTGACCTGGGCACCACAAGGTTTTCATGCCAAAAATAATTCCAGGGCATTCGCGGCTAAGTCCCCCTGAAGTCTTTGTGCGGTTTTGGTCCATGCGGACAAGATGGCCACCACCACTTGTTCAAATGGCGGCCACTTCGACTGTTCGGGAGTTCGAAGAATCATTGTTTAAAGTCCCAATAGCCACAAATAGGGTCTCTTAACCACAATAAATTAAATGGGCCATAGTCACAGGGTAAAAGGCTGGCAAGTAGTCTTCTCCAAAACCCAGTGGCAAAGTGGCTTTCGTCACAGGAGCATCAACAAAACTGCTGCAAAGAAGAGAGGTGAGGGGCACACACAAAATATTAGCAAATAGTGCGTATAATGGTATGGTAGAGATCCCCTCAAGAACTCCCTACGCCCAACGCCCAAAGTAGAAGGAAAAAGGAGAAGAGAAATAAGGGAAACCAACAAAGTGTAAATCGCATTAAATAAAGATAAAAGGAGAAAAGAAGAAAGGAGAGAAGAGCAATAAGGAAGGAGGCTATAAGGGAGCTCTAAGATTAAATGTGCTGAATAGGCTGAAAAAAATGGAATACTGTATATATGCAAACCAGCACAACCAACACACATGTAAAACATTGCCTAGGAACTGCCTAGGTAAAACTCGATATCCGTAACACGCTTATGTTTTTGCTTTCCTTGACTGGCTTTATTCTTTGTTATTTTCTATTTTCTTTTTTGTCTGTTGTTTCTGTACTCTTTAAGTGGAAATAGGTAAAAGAGCAATAGTAACCAAATAA